TGTGTCAATAAAACACACAACACACTTGGAGCACGATGACACATCTACAAAGGTGGTACTTGGAAATACACACGCCTAAAAAATGTTACGTGCACATGCGTCAACCAGCAGTTGGACCCATGTGACCTCAGTGGCTGTTTACGTTCCTCCCTCTGCTGCGACATTATCCACTCTGCCAGAGCCCGGCTGCAGACTCAGCACCCGAGGTTCCATCTTTGGTGACTTCAACCCTGCCAGCTTTCACACAGTAGAGCCCCTGCTCCATCAGTACCAACCCTGTCCCCCTGCCGGCTTTCACATGGCAGGGGGACAGGGTTACTGATGGACCAGGGGCTCTACTGGTCCATCAGTACCTACTCAGCTCAGATCGCCACGGTTTGTGGAGTTTCCCATTAGGTCACAGTACCTGGTACTTTTTCAGTAGTAGTTGTTTGTCGCAACACTGACAATAAAGTTCTGAAGGCAAAAGCAGGTCAGAACTAACACGGTGTAACTAATAAAGAGCGTTTTAATCTGAGAAACTTTGCTTGAACCTGGTTCCACAGCACTAAAATCAAAACCGTCCGTTTTGACACTAAATACAGAGAGCACACTGTGGCGAGCCTCGACTGGCCTACGATTGGTTATTGATGTAGACGCACGTCATGGTGACTCAACCTGTCTTGCAGCGCTGCCATATAAATGTTTACATTAAGATTTTTGCTGCATCTTAATGAAACTGAGCAGAATCAGCTCCTGCTGTTTGATAAAATGCTTCTCATCTACTCGAGTACTCGAGCTGCTCATTCAACACGACTCCACATTCATGCAAGTTTCTTTCCATGTCAAAGACTTTCCGTCCATCAGTCACAGTGAACGTGATGCTGGTTTCATGAACATAATAAATGTAGTAACTGTTCTACAGTCAGTGAGTGTTCACGCCCACTGTACCTTGTGGCCCGTACTCATGAAGTAGTCACGGATGGCTCTCACCATCACTATGGCAACAGGGTAAGTAGCATTGACAGCCTCCTTCCCTGTAGACGTCTTGATGAAGTCTGAACCTGCCGTGTTGGAACAGATGAGATGTCTTCAACAAAAGCACGTACTGAGGTTATGTTGCATCGCTCAGCTGTCGGGTTTCGACTTCAAATTTGTCCGACGGGACGACAAACGGCTCGAGGCCGGCGTTCCCATGCAGGTCGACTGCACCGACAGCGCGGCCGGAGAAAAGCGTAAGCTGCTGCAACAAACGACAGCTTAATGCTCATCAATAAAAATCATTATTTCTTTCCTCGCCTTCCTTCACAGCCAATTATATTTTATCAGCTAGACTGATAAAAATAGAAGATGAAATGACGCAGTTTAACAGATTACCCACAAACTGCAGGGGCAGAAAAAAGAGGCGCCGCCCTCCTGCCTCCCTGAGTTATAATGACCGTTCATTACCGAACAGAACAAGATGGAAATTTTACAGTTCATTAAAGACATGTTATATGTGTTTTTTCAGTTTCTCTCCCCTCTTTCTCAAACTGGCATAATCCTTAAGATTCGTTATACGGAGTCTTAATTACCAGATAATGGATAACGGTTATTAAATGTGGGTGGCGGTAATGAAGCTCTATTCATTTGCGTGGGCAGGGAGATACTGGCGGGGAACGGCGGGGTAAAAAAGGCTATATCAGAGATTAATAGGTAAAATTATCATTCAATTTCAGGAATCTCATATGCAATTCATAGGAACAAGAGGAGATTAAGGAGCAAGTGTGGTGACAAAAGCAATGTATTTTAATGACGATCTCTATCAGAGCGCCTGACAATTTAGGTCCGTAATCGGCTTACTGTGTGTGTGCACGTGTGTGTGTGTGTGTGTGTGCGCCTGTGTGCCTGTGTGTGTGTGTGCGCCTGTGTGTGCGTGTGTACGTGTGCCTGTGTGTGTGCCTGTGTGTGTGTGTATGTGTGTGTTCATATTTAGTATGTTAATCATAATTTAACATTAAAGGGCCGTAGTCCGTGACAAACATAACAAAACTCTGTTTGTATTTTTATTCCAGAACCAGTATATCATTATATCATTAATAATTCACAAACATTGGTACCAGTTCAGCTCAGTAGGTGAGCAGTCTGGCCAGGTTCGAGTCCCAGCACGCACCCCTTTCTTCATTTCTCTCTCTCACTCGGCTTTCCTGTCTATCTACATTGTCTCTATCCAATAAAAGCTAAAAGGCCAGAAAAGATCATCTTTAAAAAGTTAGGAGCATTGATGGTTCACACATTTCATGTGTAATTATTGCTTCACAGGTCATGATGATGTCGATGACTGTAGCCGTGCTTCTAGGTCACACGTATGTCTACAGAGCCACAATGGGAGGTGTTTGGACGCTGCATACGTGCATCATCCGTTA